AGGAATTGTTTGGTGCATTTACGATGGGGCACCCACCCAGAGCCTCTGGCATTTTCTCACTCTGCTGACATCAAAACCAATTTAAGGCAAAATAAGAGGCTACTGAGAGGGGAGGAAATAAAGTTGCTAGCTTTAGGTATGGAAATTCCTGGAGATTTGAGGAGTGGAGGCCGGAGAGGGGGACCTCAGACAGGTTACAGTGCCATAGACTCCACCCTCCAACCCAGCTATTTGCTCCTGGTGAACTATTGTTGCCAATCTTGGCCCAGCACCCATCACACCATTCTCTTCTACCCCCTGCTGTGCAGCAGACTTTCCCCTAGGGTTGCCAATCTCCAGGTGGGACCTGGAGATCTCCCACTGCTACAATTGATCTCCAGATGACAGAGATCAGTTCCCCTGAAGAAAATGGATGCTTTGGAGGGTAGACCCTATGACATTATACCTGCTGAGTCCTTCCGCCCCCCCCCCAATGCTGCCCTCTACAGAATCCACCCCCCCAAAACTCCAGGTATTTTCCTCCTTAGAGCTGGCAACCCTACTTTCCCCTCAGTGCCTGATGGTAGGCAACTTAGTTTGGTCCAGTCACCTACTTTGGCCTTTGGGAGAAAACATATTGGGGCCAATCCTGTTAGGGTTGCCAACTCCCGATGGGAAATTCCTGGAGATTTGAGGGATGGAGCCTGAAGAGGGTGAGGATTGAGGAGGGGTGGGACCTCAGACAGTTACAATGCCATAGACTCTACCCTCCAAACCACTCAGTCCCTCATGGGAAACCATTGTTGCTAATCTCCAGGTGAGGGCTGGAGACCACTCAAAATTACAATTGCTCTGCAGAAGGGAGGGCTCTTTCAAGGACTGCTCTTGAGAGAGCAACTCTGAAAGAACTTGTGACTGACCCAAGGTCACACCAGCAGCTGCAAGTGGAGAAGTGGGGAATCAAACCCGGGTCTCCCAGAGCTCTTAACTACTACACCAAACTGGCTCTCTGTCAGCTGTCAGCACTACTAGAGTATGCTTTCTTTCCAGAGGGGGTAGAGGTGTGGGTTGAGGAAGGGATGGATGGCCTTTAGCCCATCTTGCACTGCCAGAGGAAAGTAAGCCTGCTGGATCTTGCCATCATCCTGAGTGGTATAAGAGTGGAAGCAATGGGCGTCTGTCACCTTCCCCAGCTTGTGTATTGCCTGCATCTGGGAGCTCACAATCCCAGAAGGTGGAGAAGAGATTTGGGGAGGTGATGGTATGTTGCCTCCCACCCAGCCTGTGTAGCAGTAGTCTAGGAGAAAGGCAAGTTTTTCACCACTGGAGTTCAGTATCTTCCTGGGTGGTGGGCAGCAGCAGGGCAAGGCAGGGGCATGGAGACAGGCACAGCCATTGCTTCCTCTTGAACTGCCACCAGCCTCAAGATCAGTTGTCCTAAACATCCACTTGGCTTGCATGTGCAGTGAACAGGCCTTGGAAAACTAACTAAGGCTACAATTCTAGCATCTGTTGTAGGTAAGATCTGTTAGGGTATTCACAGAGTTTGCCTCTGCTCATAATGGTTCTATCATTTAAACATAATTTAAACTGATGTGCCAGTTAGCTTCTTCTAGGCTGGCACAGTGGTCAGGGGATGTATACCAAAAGCCAGACAGTGGCAATAGCACTGATGTAATCCTTATACAGAAAATCTGTTGCCTGTGCAAAGATGACTGTGGGGGAACTGCTTGTGTGAATCTGTGTAGAGAGTGCTGGGAAGTGATGAGCTCGGTAATGTACACTAACCAGCAAAGAGCACAAAAGGGGTAGCATCTGATTAAAGGGAATTGGGATGTTTAGACAAGGAGTCTCTTGTTGATTCAATGTTTCATGAGTCTCTCTCCATTAATTATACTATTGAAATAGAATAAGCAATGCCACTGTAAAGTCATCACCATGCTTCTAGTTACAATTTAGAATGTAAATATGGAAATTACTATCTGGATCTCTCTCTTGTGAAGTGCAAGTGTCTTGGAAATGTCTTGAAATGGTACTTAATCAGTTGTGTTTGGAGCTGGCCTCTTATACTGTGACTAAGGCCCAATCTGCATTTAGCATTTTCTCACTTGTTGTACTAAACCCACACTGGAACAGAAAAAGATGCAGTTCAAAACCACATTCAGCTACCCCGGGCCAACACCTGACTGCAGAGTCACCCCCAATGGACATAAAACAGCCATAAATCTATGCAGACAGTCACAATAAAACCAGAGATCAAACAAAGTGAAAGCAGCATGCAGTCTGGACACTGCCATAAAATGCAACACTCAATCAAACTGAAAGTGGCATGCAATGTAGACGGGAATTTCTGTTCCAGTGTGGGTTTGGTATAAGAGCAGAGCAAATGCTAGATGCCGACTGGGCTTAAGTCAGTGGAATGGTGGTGATGATCCTCTTCTGCTCTTGAAAAATGACATATCAAGAAAAACATTAATGGCAGTAAGCATTCCTGATATAATGGCCATGCGATAAATCTGAGGTATGAACC